CAGCGTCGGCCAGGGCCAAGCGCCTTGCCCTGCAGCCAAATAGCGGCCATCATGTTTTCGGATTTTTTTTTCTGCTGCCGAGAGTTCACTCTGAGCCCCGACCTCTTGTTTTCTATTTCCCTTTTTTAAGTGGATGAGGCAAGAAGATTTGCGCATAACACCCCCCGAATGTTTTGCTATTTGCAGATACTACTTCTACGGGTAGACGCTAGACAGGGCTTGGTGTATCAACCGTATGATGATCAGAAACGCTGATGAAGACGAAGAGGAAGGATCTGGAGGAGGTTTACGATGAATTCTCCGAGTTCTCACTCAATTCCCCGGCGAGAAAGATTCGGAGGCTGGTAAATTTTGAATCTTTATCCATCTATTTTGAGTTTTTCCCTAAATTTTATGCGTTTATTTTTGTCCTTTTGGTGGGATTATTCAGCGAAAGTAAAGGGATTTAGCGTTTATTTTTGTCCTTTTGGTGGGATTATTCAGCGAAAGTAAAGGGATTTACATTTATAGATAGAAATTAGAGTTGGACTTTTTCAAATCCTTCTTTCTGGCTACTTAAGTGGATGCTTCAAACATTTTCTTCAGTTCTTGATGCCGTTTAATCAAATTCCATGGGGAAAATTTCTGATAACGCCCTCATCTATACCTTCAGTAGCACTTACCATCACTGAATCCTCACTTTGAGAAGGGTAAATTGCAGATAAGCCCCCCTGCCTTATGCACTGACGGGAGCGAGGCGCTAATAAAACAGTGAGGGGTGATAACTACTCGTGAGGGTTTAAATGAGTGAAGCTTACCCAATTGTAGATAAGCCAATGTTAGGGATTTGTGGGGATTAGTATTTTTTTTTCCTGTGATAAATTTTGATTACATCAAAAGTTAGTAACATGTGTAGCTGATTGTTATGCTTTAGGATGCTGAATTGCCTCCTATTATGGAAGAAGAAGACCAAACAGTTCCTTTACCATTTGAGAATCAAATGCCGCAAGAAGTAGCTGGTGCTGAAATTGTGGATTTGGACTTGGAGCAGATTCCTTTGAATGAGGAGAGAGCTTTGGTTTTGTATAAGCCAGTTGATAATCACCTCGTTGTGTCGCCTAGTTCGACTTTTAGTGTGAACCCAGACTTGATTTATGGTCTTAAGAGTGAGTAGTTATATTCCCTTCCTCTTTTTACATAGTATTTTGTTGTTCATATTTCTTTTTGCGAATATGTAATGCTGATATTTGTACGTTTGTTGCATTTGGATGTGCATTCGTGTTTGTGCCATCATGGATACGTATAGTTATCATGTACAGTGCATCAAATAAAGTAGATAATTCTCAACTTCCCAGGGAGAACAATTCTTATGGTTATGTGGCTTGGGGTCATGCATTGAACATCTACAAAGGTCCTTAACCGTTGAATGTGTCTTTAATGTTTATATCATTTCATGTGTCTGTCAGATACTGCTGGCTGCCCTAGTGATGGATTTGGTTATTCCCTTTGTTAGAAACTTGTACTCCTTAAATTTAATTGTCCAATCAGGAGCAAGAAAATTTTCAAGTGCTAGATTTAACTCTTGCTAGGTTTCAGAGTGTTGGTTATCTTTGAAGTTCAAATTCTTAAAAACCACTCCAACTCTATATTCCATACAAATATTGGGTTCGTTTGATTTTTTAGTACAGCAAAGGCTGCTTATGTGCAACCTCGCCTTCTATGTCCTTTTGTCTTTGATGTTCATCTGAAACAAACTGGAGTTACTTGGCTTCATGGCTAAGGGTAAAACAAGAAACTCTTTTCACTGGAGGTTGATGCCTCTCTTTACATGTCATATTCCGCCTGTCTATACTTACACTTTTTTTTGAACTATTTATCCCTGATGTTTATAACTTCTCTCTGGTCCACGAGTTGTGCGAATGCTGTCTTCAGCAAGCGGCACATAGATTTGCTACGTCAATGTTTTTCTGGAATACAAATTGGATGGTGGTTCAATGGACTTTCTCTGTTCGCTATACATAGTTGGTTTCTAACAAAAGCATTTAACGATGTATTTCCATTTGAAGCTATGAATGTA